ACTAAGTCTCTGTGGCGCAATCGGTTAGCGCGTTAGGCTGTTAACAGCGTTACAAGACGAAATCAGGATTTAGCAGAACATTGTCACGGGTAGGGAAGGTATTACTGTAAACAGTGTTTAGCTCTTAAAAGTTAATCTCATCAGCCCGGCTACCTCAGTCGGTAGAGCATTAGACTTCCTATACTATACTTTTGGTTTCTACTATAAAATATTGCACTATGATTGAATACATTATTATATAAAATATTAAACATACTAGATTATGATTTAATGCATTAAGTCTGTTGTATTTTAATTAACTGTATTTGTAAATAGATATTGTTCAATTACTTAAATATTTTCAGTCATTTATTGTTTTTGTTGTTGTTTTTTGTTTTTAAATCATTAAGGATTTATCAAACTCTTTAGTATTGAGTTGAGGGAATGAACATTATCTTATTATTCACAGAATAAATGATAGTACTCGGAGTAATTTTCTCACACCAAACTTTATTTTTTTATAAATTTTCATGAGGTCCTACAAGTCATCGAGCTGTAAAAAATGCAGAGAAAAATTGTGAAAAACAATACTTGGATTAATAATGTATTTATTACATATAAAATAAAATAAAATGCTTTACATTCTTGTTGGGGAGATTTTTCATTTCTCGAGCAATTCTTCTGTTAAATTCCTCAACTTCACTAAAAAAAATAAATGCTGTTGTCAGAAATTGTGTTTAACATAAAAACTTAACAGCTTTTGTACAAAAAAAAATGTAAACATACCTTGCGTGATAAATGGGGCCCTGGAGGAAGACATCTTCAGCCTCCTGCCAAGACAAGCCTTGTAACTCGGAAATGCCATGAGTTATGGCCTGTACAAACATACAGATAAACCAATTAATAAAATAAAACACACACTGCAGAACATAAGCATGCTCATGTACATACATGTTTTGTGATTACCTCTGGGAGGAGACATCCACAAATGAACTCCACCTCATCATTGAAGGTCAGCTGTGTTTTGGTTTTATTAAGAATTCCTCTGATGTAGTCACAAATGATTGACTGGGACTGCTCATTCTCAATGTAGACAGGCACTTGAGAACGGGGTTTTAGTGGAAACCAATTTGACCTTTTCCCACCGAGTATATCCTTTGGGCCATAGAAGGAAATTATATTTCATATGTAAATGCACAAGTAATTAATTACATTTGGCAAATAATAGTTAAATTGTCACTTGATTATATTTAAGTCAACCATACTGAGAGTCTAGAGGAGTAATTTAAAGTGGAACCATCTATACCACCAAATGCTGCTCTGCTGATTTTGATGTGATAATCAAGTCCACTAATCTTTAGTCATTCCTTTCCCGATCTTGAACTGCTTGGACATGTGCCGGAAGATTGGATGTGGTTTTTCTTTTCACCCTAAAAAGGGGCAGAATCTTTCCATCCAAGACACTTCTTGCCTCCTTAGTCCAGAAAGTAAATCTGTGCCCATAGCTTTTAATAACAAGACAAGAAAAAATCCATATTAACTGGTCACCGGTAAGAGAGATTTTAAGTATGTTTTGTTATTCATGTTACAAGTTGTTGTACTGACACAATATAAATTTTTAATTTTACAGATTTTCAAGAAAAAATAAATAAATACTGACATACCCATCAATTTGAAATCGTTCCATGAGTAGAAGGCACCACCACTGACGGATGATAGGCATATCCATCTGAAAGAAAGACAGTTTAGTCTGACAGTTAACCAACATGTTTTTGTTAATACATGATGTTGGGTGTGCTTGCAATAACCATGCCCCTTTTTTTTTTTAAAGATATGTTGCTTAGAAGAAAGCAAGATAATATACATTAAAATAGTTACATTTTAGCTATGATTAAGAAAAGCACAAACAAAATAAAGTTACATAAATAATAAAATAAAACCTCCTGGAATTGAAACCCAATGCCACACACCATTGAGAGGGTGTACTGAAAAGAGAGAAGCCACAGTCATTTACAATGTTTACAAAATCTTTAAATCAATTAACTTAATTTATATCTTACCAAGAGTACAAAAACACCACAATCATTCCCTCTTGTCTGACGTGGCAAAGCCTAAAATAGGCAAAGCAAATCACTTTTATTTTAGAATAATGTACAAAAAATTTAATTGTTGTAAAAGTATAAAATATTTTTTTTTTTAAGTTGATTCCTCACTGGAAAATCATATCCAGTCTTTTCAGTCCATGTCCCATGATCCACTTGGTAAGCAATTTTCCTGTAAACAAAACATATTAGTAGTAATACTAACAATTACAGCTCACCTCAACTCTAGAACACCATGCATAAAAAAGGCTAGATGAACATAGCCAGAAGTTCAAGAAACGGCTATAGGAACGTAGCCAAAAGTGACAGAACTATAATACACGGTTAGGAAATAAATAGAAATGGCTATAGGAACGTAGCCATATATCACATAAAGGCTGAAACGTCTTAGTTTATTGATAGACCTAAAAATTGCCCTGTATTCCTGTGACGACCCCAGGACTTCAGTATAGATGTGGCAGATCCTGATTGGGTGCCTGGTTGTCACCAATTGGCTCGAACCATATAAAAGGGTTTTGAGTGCTAGCTTCTGGAGGACGGTGTGGCTACGGGCCGTCCTCGTGTTCAGATCATCTCTTCATTTCTGCAACCTTATGGTTTTGTTTAGCATTATTTATTTGTGTAGTTAAAGTAGTTATTTTCTTTATTTTTCCCCTAGACGTTTGTTTGTTGATTTGTTGTTCTATTTAGTTTTATGTATAATAAATAAGTTGCATATACATTCTTTTGTTGTCCGAACTCTTTTATGTTGCGACTCAAAACGAGGGGGACGTAACATAAAATTGGGCGCTCGTCCGGATAATTTAACTACACATAAGGTAATGCATTTTGTTTGTGTTCACCAATGTAAATGAGTAGACTTCAGGTAGTTAGAGTGTTCTCAGCTGGGTTTGTAATCCTTCCATCGAGACACTATTTGTTATTTTAGTTTGTTATTTTGCCTTTTTTATTTTTGAAGGTTATTCTGGATGGAGATTATTAAGTCTCTGTCGGGGGTACGCATCGGGCTTTTGGCTATGCCAATTGTCCTCGAGCTTAGCGTTTAAAAGCCGCCCCGAGTCCGGTACACCTTTGAAGATTAGGTAGGTTAAGTTAGTTATTTTTCGTGTAGGTAGGAACTGAAGTCTCTCATTTTCATTCTTTTCATAAGGTGACACTTTGTTTTTTCCGTATTTGTTAATTACGATGCCCTCCGATTAATAGAGTAACTATAGTTTATAGTAATCTCTTATAACGGTGAGTTTTTGTAAACTGAGCGCGTCTGCTGTTATTGTTCCTGGCGAAGTGGCTGATGGGATTTGTAGTTGTTAGGCGCTAGTTTCACGTGCGCTTCAGTGTGTGCGCGCTTTGTTGTTGTTGTTAGAGCGTTTGCTGTTGGCAGTCATGTCGTCTTCATCAATTATTGAAGATTTCTTTGCATTTCCTTCGGAGATACTACTGGAGAGATGTACGAAGGAGGAACTGTTGCAGATCGCGGAGCGTTTTGATATTGAGGTAACGAGTAATGACAAGAAACTCAAGGAAACGCTGATGAAAGCTGTGAAGAGCGCACTTTGTGAACGCGGCGTTTTAGAGGTAAGAGCTCCTATTATTCCTGATGAGTCTGTATCGTCTCCTGTTTGTAGTGTCGATCTAAATGCAAAGTTTAGTGAAATGTCGTTGCAAGAAAAACAGCTGTGTGTTGATGCGGAAAAATTTAGAGCCGAGCGTGATGTTTGTGCTTTGAAAGAGAAAGAGTTGGAGAATGATTTTGAAGTAAAGAAAATGCAACAACAGTTAGAAATGCGGAAAATGGAGTTGGAGTTGCAGAAAGAGCGAGAGGAAAGAGAGTTTCAATTGCGAAAACTTGAGCTGGAATTGAAATTAAAATCACATCAAGCTCCTGTAATTTCAGCTGCTGAGTCAAATGTGTTTGATGTACACAAAAACATTAGGCTAGTGCCGCCGTTTTTGGAGAGGGAAGTAGAGAAATACTTTCAGCATTTTGAACGTGTTGCAGAGTCATTAAAGTGGCCAAAGACTTTTTGGACATTATTATTGCAGTGCGTGTTGATAGGGAGAGCACAGGATGTGTATTCAGCGTTGACTACAGAGCAAAGTAGCGATTATGAGATTGTGAAGTCCGCTATTTTACAAGCTTATGAATTAGCACCTGAGGCTTATCGACAAAAATTCAGAACTCATTTTAAATCTGAGAAAAGCACTTTTCTTGAGTTTGCTAGAGAGAAAGAAAATCTGTTTGACCGCTGGTGCTCATCAGTAAAAATTAAATCTAAGGAGGAGCTTCGAGAGCTCATTCTTCTTGAAGAGTTTAAGTGCTGTGTCCCAAATGCTGTGGCCATGTATCTTAATGAGCATAAAGTGACTAAACTGTCTGAGGCTGCACTTATGGCAGATGAATTTACTCTCACTCACCAGAATACTGCTCATGTAAATGATATGAGTAGATTAAAGCTGAATTCTATGAGTAAAAGTAAAAAGATGCTTTCACATCAGCATGTTGTGTCAGTTCCTGCTGAAAATGTTTCACTCACACGTCAAAAAGGTGAAATTATTTGTTTTTATTGTAAAAAACAAGGACATAAAATTTCTGACTGTGCTATTTTAAAAAAGAAAGATAAATCTGTTAAACCTGTTGGTTTGATTTCAAAAGTGAATCACAATGTTAGCACTAAGCAGATTGAGAAAATTAATATCAGTGAAATGGAGGATAAGACCAGTGTGGATTTTGGGCCATTCATTACTGATGGTAGTGTTTCTTTGCCTGATTCTGATGAATTTGTTCCTGTTCGTATTCTTCGTGATACAGGTGCTGGACAGTCATTTTTGATGCAAGGACTTTTGCCTTTGTCTGAACGTACTGCTACTGGGTCTCATGTGCTGGTCAGAGGGCTTGAAATGGGCTACATGGAAGTTCCATTGCACCACATTCAACTTAACTCCAAACTTGTAACAGGTGATGTAGTTGTAGGAGTTCGTGCTAACCTTCCTATTCCTGGTGTCACCTTTATACTTGGAAATGACTTGGCTGGTGGTAATGTGTGGGAGAAACCTGATGGTGAAATTTCACCTGTAGTGTTTCCTTCTGTTGAAGGATTGAATAAGCCTCCTGACTGTTCTGATTTGTTCCCAGCATGTGCAGTAACTCGAGCGATGACTAAGAGAGGTGTGTTGGATGAGACGGGAAGTGTTCTTAGTGATACTTTTATTTCATCTACAGACTCTTCACTAGAGCCTGGTACTGTGAACACCACTACAGTTGATGAAGAGACTCCCGTGCACAATATTACATCTGTTGATGCACATATTGAAAAGCCTGTTTCACTTTCTGAAAGTCCACCTTGTGATGCTAATGCTAACACTTGTTTGTTATCTCCACTTCATAGTGTGACTCGAGCTGAGCTGATAAAAGCCCAGCATGCGGATGAAGCTGTTCAGGAGATGTTTTCCTTGGTCTGTGCTGGTGGAGAAAACAAAGTCTCCACGTCTTATATTCTTCGGGATGGGTTGCTTTGCAGACAACAGCCTATGTCTTCTGACTCTTCTCTTGATCCTAGGATCCAAATTGTGGTTCCTTCAATTTTTCGTCATGATGTCTTAAGGCTGTCACACCAAGGCCCTGCTGGTCATACGGGGGTAAGAAAGACATGTGATAGGATTTTGAGGGAATTTTATTGGCCTAGACTCAAGAAAGATGTGACTAAATACATACGGTCTTGTCACAACTGTCAAATGACCGGGAAGCCTAATCAACGTATTCCATTGGCTCCTTTGCAACCCATTGCTGTTTGTACTACCCCTTTTGAACATCTAATCATAGATTGTGTGGGTCCTTTACCCCGATCTAAGGCCGGACATGCTTATTTGCTTACTGTAATGTGCCAGTCTACACGCTATCCTACAGCTTATCCATTGAGATCGATCACAACAAAATCGATTTTAAAGGCTTTGACAAATTTCATGTCTATCTTTGGTATTCCAAAAACCATTCAGTCTGATCAAGGTTCAAATTTTATGTCCCGACAATTTTCAAAAGTTCTACAACAACTAAAAGTTAAACACAATATCTCAAGTGCTTATCATCCTCAGAGTCAGGGAGGTTTAGAAAGGTTCCACCAGACTCTTAAGTCACTTTTGAGATCCTATTGTGTTGAACTTGATTGTGACTGGGAGGATGGACTTCCTTGGATGTTGTTGGCTATTCGTGAAGTTGTTCAGGAGAGCACTGGTTTTAGCCCCAATGAGTTGGTGTTCGGACACACAGTCCGAGGCCCGATTGCTGTTTTAGCCGATGAATGGAACATCACTGATCCACCTGAGAATGTTCTAGATTATGTCAGTGGTTTTCGCTATCGACTTTATGAAGCTCGAGCTATCGCTTTGCGAAAACTATGTAAGTCTCAGGAAAAGATGCAGAGGTTGTTTGATCGCAAAGTTAAACTTCGAAGTTTTCAGGTTGGCGATAAAGTTTTAGCATTGCTTCCTGTTTTAAGTAGTCCGTTTCAGGCTAGGTTTAGTGGACCATACACCATAGTAAAGTGTTACACGAATAACAACTATCTTTTAAGTACACCTGATCGACGAAAGAAAGTACAGGTTTGCCATGTTAACTTGCTGAAGCCATACTTGAGCCCTGTTTCATCTCTTTCAGTACATGTCGTGACCTCCGATCTTGACTCCAGTGTTTCAGGAGCTTCTGTGGACATGACTACTGATCTGGATGAAAAGAGTGGTCCTTCACGAGGAGTTGTGGAAGGACGCCTGAATAATTCGGAATTTCTTGTTAATCTCTCTCATCATCTGTCTCATTTGTGCGAACCAGAGAAGACCAGTATCATTGAGTTGGTAAATTCATTCCCTTCTATCTTTTCTGATGTTCCTACTCAAACTCATGTCATTCAACATGACATTGATGTTGGGATGGCTTCACCTGTAAAACAACATCCATATCGGGTGAATCCTGTTAAAAGGAAACTCCTTGAGAAAGAAGTGGAATATTTGCTTGCTCACCGATTAGCAGAACCCAGTTTTAGTTCGTGGAGCTCCCCCTGCATTCTAGTGACTAAATCAGATCAATCTTATCGGTTTTGTACTGATTATAGGAAGCTCAATTCACTTACAAAACCTGATTGTTTTCCTTTACCCAGAATCGATGATTGTGTAGATCGGGTAGGATCTGCACAGTTTGTGAGTAAGTTTGATCTTTTAAAAGGATATTGGCAAGTGCCGTTAACATCTCGTGCTAAGGAATTGTCTGCTTTTATTACACCAGACAGTTTCCTACAGTACACAGTAATGCCTTTTGGAGTTCGAAATGCTCCAGCGACTTTTCAACGTCTGGTAAATCGAGTGTTATCAGGGATGCAGGGATGTGAAGCCTACCTGGATGATGTTGTGCTGTACAGTTCTACTTGGTCAG